GGCAATATGCACCTCAACCTCTCCACAGCAAAACAGTTAAAACAAAACAGAACAGAACATACGAGTGTGTCTTATTCATCAAACTATCGTACCCTCCAATAGTATTTATGGTTCATGCCCAGTTAGGGGACAGATCATGAGAGCACCCAGACGTAAGCAGATAGATAGATAGATAGATAGATAGATAGATAGATAGATAGATAGATAGATAGATAGATAGATAGATAGATAGATAGATAGATAGATAGATAGATAGATAGATAGATAGATAGATAGATAGATAGATAGATAGATAGATAGATAGATAGATAGATAGATAGATAGATAGATAGATAGATAGATAGATAGATAGATAGATAGATAGATAGATAGATAGATAGATAGATAGATAGATAGATAGATAGATAGATAGATAGATAGATAGATAGATAGATAGATAGATAGATAGATAGATAGATAGATAGATAGATAGATAGATATAGATAGATAGATAGATAGATAGATAGATAGATAGATAGATAGATAGATAGATAGATAGATAGATAGATAGATAGATAGATAGATAGATAGATAGATAGATAGATAGACTATCTCGACAAAGATCAGTAGGCAATTCACCTTTGTAGTTTGTACAGTGCTCTCATCGCTTGCTTCGCGCTGCAAGTTCAGGTGGCAGACAAGAACGAAAACCGTTCGCTTGCTGCGGTTGCCATATTTCTTTAAGTCAGCATTTTGGTGTCAGTCAGATCGGCTAAAGGAGTTGGTTGCTACAGCCTTACCTCGTGCACCATTCTAATTTGTTGCAATCGCAGTAATTGATTTACCCTTGCGGAGAAACTGTGACTGTTTCATCGATAATCGATAATTTATGCCGTAAAAGATGCGTGTTTAGTCAAAAGCAAGGAGGACAAGTAATGAGTCAATTTCTTGAAATCACTCGCTTTATGTAACTCATCATGCTACTGAATTACCATACCACAAAATTAATGCATTACAATGCTCATTAATGCAAAAAGTAAGTGAATTGGTATAATTTCATTACTGCGAAGTCTACTTTATAGCTGAACGCGCTGGCAAATTTTTACAGAATAGAAGTCTCTTTTAGTGTTTCGTCAAATCTTGCGGTGCATTCACCAATGAAGCATTATTTCTCTGTTCTCTGACCAAGTAAGTTATAACATATGCACTCTCCAGTGTTTCAATGAGGCCTGGGGATCTATACTCGAGCATGGAAGTGCACTGTTATCTCGATGCCGTGCCGTATTACAGTCGTTCCAGTACAGCGTTACGAGTCCTAAATTGCCTCTTTCTCTGGGTTTGGCGTCGGTACCTTGCCCGAGTAAAAGCAAGGGGTTACAACTGCACAGGTCAAATGCGTCAGTCTGATTCAGTTGAGGAACTGTCTTGAATCTATACCATAGTTGATAGCGATGTGGACACAGCTAAGACAATGTAAGAAGTGCACTTTTTTAGCCCTCTTTCCTTTCTTTATTTTTCTTTTTTTAGCGATGAACGTTACGGTTTCTACAAATACTCTACAAATAAACTAGAAGTCCCTTGTTTCCAATTGATCCTATAGCTTCCCCTTTCTCTTTCTTTTTTTTTGTTCTAGTGCATTTGTTTCGCAATAAAACTTTTGCGAAAGCATTCGCGTCGACCAGTTGCTATGTGCCACTCCGAGCGCCTGCCGTTGATGGCGCTACAGCCGGATCTGCTCGCCTTTGTACTGACAGTTGACGCACGCGAGAGTTAACCGGTCGCCGCCACGACCCAGCCAGGTCGTAACTCCTCCTACACGTCGCCGTCAGTAGGGCCGCTATTAGCGCAGCCAGTGTGACATCGAAGCACTGCCGGACGTGAAGCAAGGGTGAACTAAGAACGGGAGAAAAGGAGGCCCTGGATCGTAAAGAAACGGGGCCCGGCCCAAACGACCGGCGGCAAGAAGTCGTCTGCGATGCTGGACCCCGATGGCATTTTTATTGTACAGTTGTGACGAGGATTAGACTTCAATTTTGCCTCGAAGTGTCCTGGAGCTCCGTAAGCGGTACGGGGACGCAGGGCCCAGTCTATCAAGCTCATAATCTACCTTGGAACCGCAACAGATGCATCTGCGGCTGCCTCGCGGAATGGTGCGTTGAGCCATTGGAAAAAGGACTGATTTTAGCCGGCCAAAAGCGAAAAGGAACTAATCAGAAGTTACGGCACCGTGTTTTCACTCAGGCGTCGGCCCTTCTGAGAAATGTATATGCATGTATACACCTATCTCTTCTCTTTCCTTTTCATTCATTTATAGAACGTGGGCTTAATTTTACTTATTCATTTCTAGGTCTCCTCACACGTGTCGTTGCGACGGTTGCATGTCCGTGATTTATCGACTCATCTGCAATGCATTTGCCCATCCACTCGCGCTTCCTGTTGCCGTAATGGCCGTATACCGAAGTGGCTGTCTGGGATTTATATATGCTTAGCTTCTATATATAGAATAAGCCGCGTAGACTGTGGCGATAAGAGATACGGAGAGAATGGGCCATTCTTGCAAACAGCCTGTCCAAGCTTGCCTTCTCTTTTTTTCTCGCTTTGTGCACGCCTGCAGAGCATGCTTATCTCCAGTCGTATGTCATCTGTGTCATATGGGGGCGCCACGGTCCGAGCCAACGTAAAAAAGAAGCATCTGGTCACCTGTTAGCATCCATGGGCGAGAAGATACTAGTGATGTACTGCCCTGATGTTGATTTCATTTGAGGTATTTGAAAACTCGTCATGAATGTGTCTATTCGGGCTTTTATCAGCCAATAGTCGAATCTCATAACAGATCACATCATCATCAGCCTGACTACTCACACTGTAGGACAAAGGCCTCTCAATGTTCCGCCAGTCAACTCGGTCCTGTGCTTTCTGCTGCTACTCTATACCCTCAAGCTTCATAATCTCATCTGCCCACCTAACTTCCTGTCTCCCGTTCATCCGCTTGCCTTCTGTGGGAATCCAGTATGTGATCCTTAGTGACCAGCGGTTATCTTGCATTCGTGCTACGTGCCCTGCCCATGACCATCTCGTATTCTTGATTTGGACAATGATATTCTTAACACCCATTTGTTCTCTGATATACTCCGTTAACTTCTTGTCTCTTAGGGCTACACATAACATATACGTGAGGTTTAATGAAAGTGAAGTCAGAAATACCCGAGTGGCCGTGGAGCAGCGTGTTCCCATTCTGCAACTCTAAACTAGGCTACAAAGCTAAAAAAAGAGGAAAAAATATAGAGTATTAGAAATGATGGTGGAATACACCAATGAACTATGTGCCCACACTTCTATGTAGTACTTGATCGGTGCCCCTAGCAACTGCACAAGAAAGAAGAAGCACACATGTACGCTATTTATTCATAAAGCTATATGAGAGTTTGTATACGTACAGATTATACATGTAGCAGTTTCATACAGCAGAACGCATAGTAATATGCGTTCTGTTTATGAAATCGCTTATCATCGTTTACGAAAACCGCTTATCAGGTCCTTAGTATTTCGCACATTTTTCATGCGAGGTTGGAAGGTTTTAGGTGGGCCATATTTTATTATACACTCATTCGCTGGCTCCTTCAATTATTATGCCGGGTGTCCCAGCACTCGGACCAAGGTTAAAATAAAAAGGAACAAAAAAATGTAGCGCTTTATAGAGCACGTTTGTGTGTGTGTGTGTGTGTGTGTGTGTGTGTGTGTGTGTGTGTGTGTGTGTGTGTGTGTGTGTGTGTGTGTGTGTGTGTGTGTGTGTGTGTGTGTTACGTAAAACCTCTGATATCATTATTATTAATATTAGAAAGAAGAAAAATAAGTAGAATAAGGATATGAAAAAAGAGAAAGAGAAGAACCATACGCGAAAAAGAGATATGAAAAACACAGACCAAGACAGAAAGAAAACTAACGAAAAACAAAGAGAGAAAAATAGAGGCATAAAGAGTGATAAATAGAAATAAATACGCATATAAAGAAAGAAAAAACTAAAAAAACGCATAAAAAGCAAAATAACAAGGGGAAATAAATAAAGAAAGAAAGATACACGTACAGGAAGGCCACCAATCTGCGTTCTTCCCCCTGGCTTGGTGCCACTAGTGCGAAGCTGCCATATATTTATACGTAATAAAAGTTAGAGTATAAATAATTAGGATTCAAAATATTCCTCAATAATAATTCATCCATCAATGCAACAACTATTTCTTTTGGTTTAAAAGTGTGAGTGGAGATTTTCGTATTTTTTCGGAGCTGACTTGATCATACCCATGCCAAGTTGCAATAACCAGTTGCCTACATTGAACAGAATCAATTTAATCCTGAAAGGTTTGAAAGGCCATGGGGCCGCAGTTGCTTCCCCCAGAGCCAGCCTCTCTCATGTCGCCGCCAATTCTTCTGAGTATCTTGTACTTCACTCAGATGGTAGTTGTAGTGTTTCATCTAATCAGCGGGCGCCGAAATGGACAGTCCACGTTTACTGAATACGCCCCAGATATTCACGATGAGAGTGCAGAGAAACATAGACCTGTGCCACACAACACGTGCAGCAAGTTTGTGATGCTAAACGGTGAAGGCAGCCGCACTGGTGAATTTCCGCTGTACAATTACGTACGAAATGTAAATTACCGTGAAATGCATGTTTTACAGGTTTATAAGGCTTGCGAAATGTGACCATGACCACGCGAACTTGAGCAATATTTTACATGTGCTGCCACCTCGTGCAATACCACAAAACTTGCATTCTTGCCTTCGAGATTTTGTTGAAAAAGTTATGTAATCTTGGAAGCTATTTTTTCGTTGTTTGTAGAGAAGGGGGCCTTATTAGTGTTCATATTGTAAATTATTATAGCGTAATAAGCAATTATTGTTACTTTTTGCAAACTTATTCAACTCTTTTTGAGCAAAATAAAAAATAAGCGCTGCCATTGTGGTTGTTTTGGCCGCGGCGCGGCGGCAAGTGGCATTGAGCGATTTCCGTCTGTGCGCTGTGGTGCGCGTTTCCCGCGCTCTTTGTATTCGCGTTATCCCCTTGCGCGAGATGATTTTACCGATGTGACTGTGCATCTGTATTACAGTACTAGTTCACAGTGGTGAAATATTCGAGCTGGTTGCCATTTATCGAAGGTTGAACCTGTTTTCGGTGGTGTGTGTGTGTGGAAGGGACTATCGATCGATCGTTCTGCGCCGGTGAAAGACGATATTTTAGCGATTTCAACGTTGCCCGCCCTGGCCTGACATGCGTCATGTGCTGAACCCTTGGATGTGATTGTCACTGTAGTGGCCGTTACGGAACAGTGATGTCGTCGCAGATGTTGAACTTGCGGGGTGTTACCGTTCACTTCCCGCATGAGCCTTACGATGTGCAAAAGAAGTACATGGAAAAAGTGATCGAGTGTCTGCAGAATGGAGTAAATGGCATCCTAGAGAGTCCAACAGGAACGGGAAAAACACTATCCCTTTTGTGTTCATCATTAGCCTGGCTTGAAGATCACAAAGCCGCAATTCAGCTGAGCGCTGGCGTGCACCGGTCGTCTGACGGCAATTCGTCAGGATTTCTCTCGCAGCTGCAACGTCATTTCGATCAGCAGGAATCGGCAGAACGACCGAGTCCTATGTACCCCAAGATTATCTACAGCTCAAGAACCCATTCGCAGCTGTCGCAAGCTATAAACGAATTAAAGAAGACCAACTACAAGTATGTGAAGTCGGTAGTGTTGGGTTCCCGAGATCAGTTGTGCATCAACCCAGACGTCCAGAAATTGCAAGACAACGCTTCCAAATTGCGAGTGTGCCGACATAAGGTAACGACCAGGTCCTGCCCGTTTCACTTGAACTATGACACCAAAATGACGAGATCGGAGTATCAAGACACTCCTGTCATGGACATTGAAGACTTGGGCAAGCTTGGCAAAAAATTTGTCTGTTGCCCATATTATGCTGCCAAGACTCTGAAAGGGAGAGCTGATATTGTCTTTATGCCTTACAATTATCTTGTGGATGCAAAGTCACGCAAGGCGCAGGGTGTTGAGCTCGAAGGAAATGTGGTCATATTTGACGAAGCTCACAACATAGAAAGCATGTGTGAAGAGAGCATGTCATTCCAGCTACTCTCATCTGACTTGGCATTGTGCATCAAGGAAATAACTCATGCAGCAGAACTGAAGCAACAGAAAGAGACTGAAGCAGCTGCTGGAGTTGAAGGTGTTGATCCAGATTTCACATTGCTTGATGTAGCTAAGATTAAAGCTATTTTGCTTGCCTTGGAAAAGTATGTAGACGAGTTGCTTATGCAGATGAATGGAGACTCAACTACAAAATCTGGTGATTTTATGTTCACCATGTTGAGAGAAGCAGGTGTTAGTCGTCAGAACAAAGATGACCTTATGGACCTCCTGGACAAAATCGTGTCCTTCCTTGAGGTCAACGCAGTTGGAGCATTCAGCCCGAGAGGAACGGGCCTCAACCGTTTTATAACTATTCTCAGCAGCCTCTATTCTGTCGAGGGAGAAGGCTTGTCAGTAGAGTTGATATTTAAGACCAAGTTTAAGGTCCACATTCAGAAAGATGTAAACAAGAAAAAGAAGGGGCCTCAAGATGTTTGGACAGTTCCTTCAACCTCTGCCAAGAAGCTCGATTGGTGCCTGAATTGTTGGTGCTTCTCACCAAGTGTGAGTATGGACAACCTTTTAAGACAGGGAGCTCGTTGCATAATTCTCACTAGTGGCACGCTCTCTCCACTCAGTTCGTTCGCATCTGAGCTGGGTATTCCATTCCCTGTACAACTCGAAAATCCTCATGTCATTAAGGAAGAACAAATCTATGTCTCTGTGCTTAGCAATGGCTATGATGGACAGGTCTTGAATTGCACCTATGAGAACAGAAACAATCCTGCCTACCTGGCCTCTCTTGGTAGAACACTGTGTAATCTTTGTAGGATTATTCCAGGAGGTGTGTTGCTTTTTTTTCCCTCGTATGCTGTCATGAAAAATTTTGTTGAGACCTGGACCTCAAACGGAACCATGACTTCACTTGCACTTGTCAAACCAACAGTGATGGAAGTTCAGAGAAGTACAGACTTTTCCTCACTCATTCAAGAATACTGTGAAAATGTCGACTCACCTGAGAAAAAAGGCTGTCTTCTTATGGCAGTGTGCAGAGGACGTATGAGTGAGGGCATGGATTTCACAGACCAGTATGCTCGTGCAGCCATCATTGTTGGCTTTCCGTTACCTCCTTGCTTTGATCCCAGGGTCCAGCTGAAAAAGCAGTACCTGGATGAGTCACCGTCATGCAAAGTTTTTTCTGGTAATGATTGGTACGTGCTGCAAGCCACTAGAGCAGTTAACCAAGCAGTAGGTCGTGTCATACGCCACCAGCGGGATTTCGGTGCTATCTTATTCTGTGACAGACGTTACAGTGAGCCACGAAATCTGAGCCAGTTATCAAAATGGGTGAAAGAAAAAGCCAAACTACGTTCTAGCTTTAGTGTTGTCCTAAAAGAACTGTCTTCTTTCTTTAAAGCTGCAGGTGCATCAAATGAAAGCAACACAGCTGCAGTAAAAATGCTGGGTGGCTCAAGAAATGCATTTGGAATACCATCAAAGGAAAGCACACCAAATTTTAGAAACCTGACATTCACTGGACAGCCAGTAGCTGACAATGATGAAAATGTTTTGAAGACATACCGGGCCAACAAGGCCACTGAGCGGCAGTTGCAGTCACAAGACAGAAGCCGGCAAGGACGAAGCCTATTTGATGTCCTAAACAGCAGTTCACAATCAAAGGCGGCAGATTTTTGCACCGTCCGTAAGATCAACTTTAGAAGCACAGATGAAGACCAGACTCGAGAGCAATATATGCAGAATGCCAAAAAACGAAAACTTTTTGTGCCTCTCAAAGGAATCGGACCTCCCCAGTGTTCAGCTATTTGTGATGGTGCTGGCACATCCAGTGCTAAAAGTTCAGATTCATCGAAGGATATTTGGAAGTCTGTCTTGGCATCACTTAAGAAGTCTCTCAACGATACTGACTACAACAGAGTTTGCATCAACATGAAGTCATACCTTCGAAATAATGACTCTGATGCACTTGCACAGTCACTTGGTCACAGTCTGCTGGATGCTCCCGACCGAGATGAACTCCTTGCTTGCCTGGCAAAAGTAGTTTCGTCGTCTCAAAGGGAAGACTTTGTAGCAAAATGTCGTGCTCACTGGTGATGCGAAGCATGTGTGGTGTGACGAAGTACATATGGCGTGTTTTTGTACGAATCTACCTCCTGTACATTCCCAGCTGGTGCGAGTTGGCATTGTGCCCTGTGAAAAATTCTGCAGTGTCATTTCATAATAATCTAATGTCATGATGAGAGCTGTGATAGGCCTTGTATCAGCATTCTGGGCGGCCTAATTTTTTTCTTTTGAATATGCATGAGTGATGCTGCATCTGGGTCATGAAGACTCACTGCAAGAACTTGGCGCATGTTTGTGTTTGTAAAAAAAAATAAAGTATCTCATGTTTCTGTATTGTGGTTGTCTTGCATGACTGCATCCCAGTAATACCACGAGACCACTTAAGCACCAGAAAAAGTGTTGGTGACCTATTCAGAGTCTGGTCTCTGGTCATCTATAGTAGTTATACATTCTGCACATACATTTATGGCTGATGTTTGCTAGTAGGCTGCCTTAAAACCACTATCTTTGCGTAATTTTCTTGCGCCATTTTATAGGACTAGTGTCATTCATGTTTCTTCTTTTTGTCACTTTCAGACAGTGAAATCGATGAATTAGAAGGCCCGACTGTGCACTACAAGCCAGAAGCGATTGAAACACTGTGTCAGCTCACTAAGTTCAATAAGCGAGAGCTGCAGCTAATGTACAGGGGCTTTAAGCAGGTAAGGAATGGCAATCTTCTATTTTTCAATGAACAGTCATTTTGCTCGGTAATTTTTGTACGAATTATATGGGCTCCATACATTGTAGTATTGCGTGTTTAGAGAACTTTTTGGTTTGCCTTGAACTGTTCTTTCGGTGCCTCAGCTTCACTCCCCTGTGCAGTGGTGTCATAGTCTCTCATTTCGTGCACTTGTATCTCTAAAACATCTTGTGCACTGTAATAGAGGCATTAGACCCAGATGGAATCCTTCTACAGTAACTTAGTGGTATTTTTTTATTTATCCTCAGTTGGGTCACTATTTAGTGCAAGAGCCACTGTCAACTTATTGAGTGGACTAGACGGTTTAAAATATTTAGATGCCTAGATCATTGCTCGGCTGGTTTATCAATCAGCCTGGAATAACTTTCAACATTGCAATTTTTGGGGCATGTAGGTAACTGAAATCAAGGGCATATTCAGTGCAAGCTGACAAGGACATCAGAGAGATGACACCACAATGTGCCAACTTCAATTGGATTGCCAGAACTACCATGATCGCCAGGAGTATTTCAAGAAAGCATCAGTTGTTTATCTGTGCACAGGGACACCACATTATTGCACCATCATGCAACAGCATAACGATATCATTCACTTAAAATTTCATGAAAACAAGCACAATTTCGCATCAAGGAAAACTAAAAGCATTTTGAGAAACAGGATTTTTTGTGTATGAGATTGCTAAAGAAGAGATAGGTATGTGTCGACGGAGGTGCACATTTTAGGCTTCAACTATAGACATCACCAGGATTCACACTTTAGGAGTGGGCTTGGAAAAACCACCGGGCTCTATGTGTCTGAGTGCCATTGTGTTTGACAGCGCAGATTCCACACTGCAGGTTTATGTACCTCTTCTGCACCGTAGCGTTGAGGCACAAGGACTTGCAGTGGTAATCTCATTGACATGAAGCACCATGAGCTTCATGTTTCTTTTAATCCCCATAGCCAGAATGTTTAAATTTCTCATCAGAAAGATCCTCGAGGCATCGCAAGGGCATGCATGCTGTCAACAGTGCAAGTGCAAGAAAATAACTGCTTGTCGAATGCTACTTCTCGATTTCTCATCAACGTACGTCTTCCAAGAAAAGTGAAGCACAACCTTCAGGTTGGTAAGCAGCATTGATGGTAGCCAGTGCATCATTCCACATGCTTAGATGTTTAAGCAAGTTGCAGCCTTGATCCTCATTCAAGTTGTGCAGCATTAAGAAATCAGCCACTTTGTTGAAAGATCAGGATCTGCTTGTGCTGCTGCAATGCCACGTAAGCGTTTCGTTTAGAACTAAACTTGCGGAGGCAAATCATCTGGTGTAAAACTGAACTGAATGCCACAGTATTGAATCCCGGTCATGGCAACTGCATTTCAGTGGAAGTGAAATGCTACAGCATGGAGGCCCATTAAAAGTGCCGTCCCCTCTTAGGGTAAACACAGCTCAGCGTGGCAGTGCCCTGCGTAGTGCCAGATTACATCGCGTTGCTGTGTATCAAATGGCATTGGCACAGGCACACAGTAGCACGGCGCCCTTGGTGTACTGCAGCCAAATAAGAGCGGTGCACTCTAGCAAGGTAGCAGACGATGCAAAGTGCTTCCCATGCACTCTTGTGTGTCCCTGTGCACATCCGTCTCTACTCTTGAGTGTGCGGCCACACCAGCAGAGCTGGCGCACACTTCACAATTTCGTTATAGGCTCATTCCTAAATGCAGTTTATTTCATTGTACTTTGATTTGTGATACTTTGATTGCTAGAAAAGTAGCCTTACTCCAGCTCTTCTGAGATTCCTAATAACATTTGGCTCATTTTTCAGTTCTCTTCATTCTCATTGCTTCTTCAAGGAACAGAATGGCAAAAGCATTTGAAGGAAATGCTTGAACACAATTGCCCAAAAAGCAATATTTTACATGTGCTGCCATTTCGTGCAATATCACGAACTTTTCAAAGCAGGATACACTGAACTTTCTCTATGAAAATTTTTTTTCTGACCCTCTTCATCTAGTCACTGTTAATAGTTTAGTTTCTTAGAAGACAGTGTCAAGAAAATTGTAACCCACATGTTCAAATTGTGTGTTGTGTTTTTTTTTTCAGCATGAGACTTCTGCTACATATCATAAATAATGTGAACATTTATTGTATATTACACACTACAGCTGTGCTCTCAAGAATCTGTGAAATATGTCTTTAATGTAAAAAAATGTAAAGAAGTTGCTATATGACCTCACATTAGCACTGCCAGCAGTAGATTAGATGTCTGCCTTCCAGCACTTCTTTCTGTTGAACGTCATGCCGGTGAACAAATCTTACAGTATGCTGACACTATGAATTATCTAAGGATGTTTAAAGAATTCAATTTAACATTGTTGCTTTCAAATAGTTGTTAGAGAATTGGTGGTGTCACATTACACATCTAGACTTCTATTTGCAGCACCTCGAGTATTGACAGTTTTGACACCAATTTTTGAAGCTGAGTTTGCTCTGGCGTACAAATCTACTGTATACGCAGATGGCTATGAGCAAGTGTGACGCTCAGTAAATGCTGATAAGATATTTTATTGACACATTAAAGTTGAATTTCACATGGTGCACCCATTAACATTTACACTAGCATGATGTAAGGCTTCAGTATCAATTTTGGTCACTTCACCTACTAGTATGCCTAGTTGTGATGACGTGACGTTCTAAAACATTCAAAATGGCCACTTGTGCTACACAAACAGAGCCACAGAGCATAATGGCAGTGAAAACATCATGATATCTTGTATAAGCACAGGGTGAGAAGCCCATACTGAGTCATGACGTCAGGGTACAGTGTATAGGAACCGAAACTAGCTTTCACAGCCATATTATAATTAATTTTTCAGGGTGCACTCATGCTTACCAATGCATTCCCTTGGCTCTCCTGTGAGCTTGGCTTTTTATATATGATGTAAAGGAACAACACCTGAAACATTTTCATGTCAGTATCCTTTTAAGCTCTCTGAAACAGCATTAATGGCTGATATTTGGATAATTGGATAAGGAGACTCACCAAATCTTTATGAAATTGAAGAGAAGATTGCTCTTTGAAATATATTTAAATAAAGGCACCCAGTAACTATAGAATGCTGCCATGGAGACCGTGTGATGCACTGCTTCTCAAGACACAGCGAAAAATGGCCCATAGTCCTTTTCTAGTGGCCACTTGTCATTTCTCCTGACTCTCATATCTCCACCATGTTATGGTGTTCACGTGACAAGCCTTGTGCTATGGCTTACAGGTTGCATGTACTGGACTTCTTCAGTTGTTAGGACTAGTTACTTCTAGTTTGCAGACAAAAAGAGCCGGAATACGAAAAGCAAGCAGCAAAGTAAAAGTGGTAGCCAAGCTGAATAAGCTGAATGGACCAATTTGCATTTGAAAAAAAATTCGCAGTGTGCCATATATGAAGGACAAGATTTTTCAAGATGTTCATTCACCCAGCTTGTTTTCATCCAATTTGAATGCCTGAAAGCAGCCATGGTTGAGTTAAATCAATGCAAAGTGTAAGAGGAAGATCAATGTGTGCATACACGGTCATTCGGCATCATCCTCTTTCTAGCTTAAGACAAGCTTCCAGCATGCTATCAATAGGGTAAAATTAAGGAAAATTTCAAAAGATGACAGAATGCAATGCTCAGATCTTCATATAATTCCTCTGACGCAAAACTATGATATGGATTCTTGCAGGAAAAAAATTCCAATGGTTGTGTCACTGCTTGATGAAAGCATTTTGAATGTTAATTATGTAGTGTTGCAGAGTATTTTAAAGACTAGAGTCCTGCCCTTTTTGAAAAACAGTGCGATTATTTTGGGTACCACATTTATGGGGCAAAGATTTTTTTATGATTTCTTCCATCATGACAGCTTGGGAATCAGGATAATTTTGAGCATGTGGCCTTCATAAACTGCTCATGCTAAATGCTATGGCAAGCAGCCAGGTGACCATTTCCAGGGGACTCTAGACAATGAGCTCTTTTAAGTTTTTGGTTGTCACCTTGTACTCACTACAGCAATTTTAACCTACTTTGAGTTCAATTACAGTCTTCAATATTTTGTCATGAAAGTACGAAACGAAAGTGGTGCAAGCAAATAAAAACAAACAAACAATGTACTCTTGGAAAAAACTTCCGTTTTTCGGCTCGCATCTTCTCTTAAATAAGTGTGCCATAGGCCGTTATTAGTAAAATGTAATTTTACAATGAATAAGTCAGAGTGCCCTATACTATACATTACAAATGCTAGGGCCAGTGCAGTTATTCATAATTTTTTCTGTATTGGTGCATTTTCATCTATGCATATATTTTAATACATTGAGAAATTTTGCACAAATGTTTGAAATCTGACATAGACTTCAAAGATTATTGTTCTATGTTTAAACAAAATCTTTCCTCAATTTACTCCTGATTTTGACCTTTTCCTTTCAGCTAGTATTATGACATACTTTACTGCATGCAATGCAATATTTAGGCGTTGTAAGTATGTGCATATTCTGTGTATTGAATATGAAAGAAAACTGAATGTCTTATCCAGAGCTTTTGAGTCTATATTTTTGCTGTTATTATTTCCAGGAATGCCCATCTGGGATGGTTAAAGAAGAGACGTTTAAGATAATCTACTCACAGTTCTTCCCAAGAGGTGCAGATGCTAGTCAGTATGCTCATTTCGTCTTCAATACCTTTGACCAGGACCACACTGGGGCAATAACATTCACGGTAAGAATTATGATCTGCGATTTCCACCTCACTCATTTTTCACTACACTGTAGCACATTTGTTAGTACTACATTTTGCAGGTAAACTTGATTTCATATGCAACTTACACATGCTCTAGATGAGCATTTACTGCATGTGGGTTGGGCAAAATACTTCAAATGAGCAGCTCATTCCTTTTTCCTGTCAGACCTTGGGAATATATACGTTAAATATCATATGCAGTAAAATATATTTTATAATTTCATGACGTATAAAGAATAGAAAAGAGAAATCGAGATGGCTATCAAAATGGTATTCCTTTTAGTCCAAGAGTGGCAAGCAGCAAGATTATTGATAAGTGCTTCGTAAGCACACAATTACTCTGCTGGCACGCAAAATACTGCATCAATCTAGGTCTTAAGCTGCGTAGAAGAAGTTGATGTATGGGTGTGATGTTATCAGAAGGTTGAAAGAGACTAACGTGCACACAATGTGGCTCGAGCTTTTCTTCCGAAAGTTCTTCTACAACCTCCCTCAATCATCTGGGCTCCTTTTGTCTATCGACTACATTCTCAGAGGTAACACATGTACACATCAAGAGAAAAACATTCCCCGAACTTGCTAGAGGGCTATCAAGAAGGGCACCTTCAGCAGTGACAAACTAGAACTTTCAACAATTTTGCCAGACCCCACACAGTTGAGCCAGAGTCATTCTCGGCTCACTGTAGCTGCTACGGCCACAAGGCCAACCTGTACCTTTTGGCGTGGCAAAAGCCATAGCATAGACTAAGTAGACCAGCCAGCATGGGAGTGCTGGGAAGCAGTCTTGTATAGCTGAAACCATGAGGAACAAGCAGCTCTCAACAAGTCAATGCCGACAGCGGCTTCAGCCAAAAGTGTCTCGGACAGACAACCTGACACACCCTTTCTTTCATTTAAGATCTCTTCATCCATCAAAGTTTTCATTGCCCTCAAGCTTTCCATTTTCGATGTCTATGTGCTAAAACATAAATTCTCACCAACCAGTTGAGCTCGCTGTCGAAATTTTTGGCCGCTCTTTTGTAGTTGCTTCTACAGCAGAGTGGCTGTTCAAGTTATTTACTTGGATGCTATAGCTTTTTGTGCAAGATATTACCAGTTTCTAGACTTGTTAATAAATCTCTCCACTCATTTCTATAGAAATTTGCCCACAATAATGTTGATTAGAAACGGGATGCTGGAATTGTGGGCATTTTGATAATGTTTTGAGAGGTGTATTTTCAAGAGATTTGTCGTAAAAGGCTGCTGTACTGAAGCTAGCTGGAAAGCATGCCGTGTCCCACGCCTGGGAGTGTTCAGCGCAGTCACTGATGGCTAAGGCGGCTGTACCTAAGGCTCCCACCACAGGTGCATAAATACTAGGCATGTGCGAATACTCGAAAAAATATTGGAGTATTCGAGCTCTCTTTGACACAGGAACTTTAATTATTTGGTATTTTAAAGTATTCTAAGTGAACGAATAGACGTATTATTACAACTTCTTGTTGGACTAGCTGGTAACTCGTCATAATGTCAGTACTTAGCACAACTTGGTAATCGTTCGAAACACTCTCACATTCACACACGCTTCCACTCAAGAAAGTACTATGTGTTGTGTGTGTTTCTTGAGTTGAAGCGTGTGTGAATGTGAGAGTGTTTCGAGCGAATACCAAGTTGCGCTAAGTACTTACAATATGAATAGATGTATATCAGACCGTATATAACCCCCCCCTGTAAAGGTGCTTTCACCAGAACTTAGGAGTGCTGTGGTCTGAGAACACCTTTCCAGAAAAAAAAATCTGCACATTTGTGAAGTTTTATATTAACATTAAATGAACCCTCACGTCAATTATTCTCATATTGATTAATCATTTTTTGGAGTTTAAAATCTTGTTATATGGGCCTATATGCTTTAAGTATTTTGGAGTAAATTTTACAACATAGTAGAGTGTATTTTACCGGTTATGATGCTTGTATCCTATGAAATTCAAATTCTTCTACTATTCAAAGTTTCTTCCACTTTACTTCGAACCGAAAATAATGACATTCGCACATGCCTTGTTCCAATTTTTAAAATATTCTGCTGGTTGGTTGGGTCACGATAAATGTGCTCACTTTTCATTATGTGGCACATCCTATTCAAACTGTTCGATTTGAAATTATTCTGCCATTCACTTCGAATTCACTTTGGATTCACTTGCAAATTAAAATCTACTATTTACATATTCCTAGATTAATCGGTGAAGCATTGCATGCATAATATGGAAGGTGTGGGCTCAGTTCACACCTGAAAAATTTTTATTCTCAGCCACTTTTCTTTGCCCATTACTGTATTTCTGTATTGTAATAAATAAAAGAATTACTTTTTAATCTCTGGTTTTATTGCCTGTTTCTCCATATGGCTGGGATTAGCTGACACACTTAACTCAACCACCTATTTTAAATATTGGTCTTACCAAATAACAAATAACTGCTTCATAATTCAAATTTTTTTATCTGGGGTGTAACATCCCAAAAGCGTGATAGGATTATGTGGGACGCTGTAGTAAAGACCTCCAGAAATTCGGATCATCTGATGCTCTTTAACGGGCACTGACATCGAACAGCACACGAGCTTCTACCATCTCCCCTCCATCGAAATGCTACCCGCCATGGCCGGAATTGAACTCCCAACCTTCGCGTCAGCAGCCAAGCACCGTAACTACTACACCACTGCCACGGACTGTGTCATAATTCTATATGGAAACTTTCAAGGCATTACCATATTGGAAACTACATGAAATTATGCGTAGGTTATTTGACATGATTCAGTGATGGAAGTGTTGCTCCAATCGCTCCATAAGATAAATGCTGCTCCATGCTGCTCCAAGTTGCAATATTTGCTAGCAACTGCTCCAAACCTGCTCTGAAATGGCATTGGGGGAAACTAAAAACAACGAAATTAAACCATGTGACCATCGATCAAGCCTAAATGAAAACAAAGACAAGCTGTATACTGTCATCTGGTGTATAGCTTGTGTAGTCGCTGTATACTCGAGTATTGAAAATGATACGCGTACTAGCATTTTCTATATATACCTGACATTAGTTGTATATTTGTACCTTACAAGAAGACTATTTTTGTGAAATTTCGGCAAAACATCTTAGTCATACTAGCTGCTGCTGTGACAACTTTATTATGCGACAGATTACATTTAGCAGTTTCGTTGGATTTTACCTCGTTTATATCACAAGAGTGAGCATTTTAAATGTTAGTTTATTTAGCTTATTTATTTTAGAAAATTCAATGCTGACTACTTTTCAAAAATAGGAAAATAACACTTAGTGGGGTTCAATAACCTAATTATGTTTCCTGTAACTTGCAGTCGTTGCTGAATGTGCAATATTTATTTATTTCAATACCCTAAAGGCCCAATTGGGCATTACATAGGGGGTATTGAACTGAATACATACATTTCAAGCAATATGAACAGAAAACAGAATACCAAAAAGTAAACAATAAAAAGGAAACAGCGAGTAAATCGAATCACAGCATCAAGTCAAACACACTCACCAACAATAATCGAATACATATTCATTAGTACAATAATAATGAAAATACCTATGAAAATTACATTGAAGAACACTGAATAAATATCGGGAGCAAAAACAGGAGACGAAACGAGGGCAATCAGACACAGGTCAGCCATGTTTTTCACTATGCAAATAGCCCTGAAGCATGGAGTTAAATATGGAACGATCTGTTATTTCTGCAATCTTAGATGGAAGAGAATTCCACTCGATTATGCATAATGATAATGGCAAATTTTGAAACTTCTTGGTCCTAACAAAAATGGGGGCCACCTTGTGCGCATGATCGAGGCGGGTTGAAGTATGAGGGGTTGGAAAGATATGAGACTGGGCGAAGGATGAGTTGCTGTGATAAATTGAGTGAAAGAACGATAGTCGAGTATGTCTCCTGCGCATGGCAAGTGTGGTGAGGCTAAGGTTCAATTTTAGTAGAGAAACACTTATGTAACGTGAGTAGGATGATGAGATGAACCGAGCAGCTTTATTCTGTACCATTTCGAGCATGTTAGTAAGACCGATTTGGTGAGGATGCCATATGATTGAAGCGTATTCTAGGGATGGCCGAACCAATGAATTGAAAGCGCGCAGTCTTGTGTCCTCATTAGTAAAATGCAAGCGACGTTTAAGGAGGCCGAGTTTCTTGAGAGCCTTATTAGTAGTATACTCTATGTGAGCAGTCCAGCTTAGATCTGAAGTGAGTATTGCGCCCAGATATTTAAATGACGTGACTTTTTCTATGATCGAATCGTTTATTTTATAAGAGCTATAGCATGCAAAAGTGATATTAGTAAACATGGAGTGCTTGGTTTTTTCGACATTAATTTCCATTTGCCACTTGCTGCACCATTCCCCTAACCTGGTAAGATCCTTTTGTAGTTCTGCAACATCATCTGTGGAAGTTATTTTCCTATAAACAATGCAATCATCCGCGAAAAGACAACTTGATGAAGTTATGTTAGATGCAATGTCATTAATGTATACTAAAGAGAGAAGAGGACCCAGTACACTGCCTTTTGGCACACCAGATGTTACTCGGGCAGGATGAGATATGCAGTTGTTAAGTTTAACTGACTGAGACCTGTTGTTTAGAAATTTTTGTATCCATGCAGTCGTTTTCTGGTCGAGGCTGAGGTGACGTATTTTTAACATTAGCCGGTTATGGGGAACACGATCAAAAGCCCTAGAAAAGTCTATAAAAAGCGGGTCAATGCAGATGGACATATGAAGAGCTGTGTGCAGGTCTGTCACGAGTTCGAAAAGTTGAGTCTGACGTGATAATTTTTCTCGAAAACCATGTTGGATTTGAAGAAGTAAATTGTTACGGTTGAGGTGACGCATGACCTGGGAGTGTATGATGTGCTCTAGTAACTTATGCGAGATGGACGTTAGTGAAATCGGCCTGTAGTTGTTGGGGTGATTGCTGTTACCGGACTTAAATATGGGTACCACATTAGCCAATTTCCAGTCATTTGGTATACAACCAGAGTCAAAGGATTGCTGGAAAATGAATGCAAGCAACTTAGCTGTATGTTGACAGGTTAACTTAAGTAGTTTGGTGCTGATGCCATCGGGGCCGGGACTGGTTTTAAGGGGAAGTCGACTGATAGCGCTAGCTACCCCGTGCTGTTTTATTAGGATTGCTGGAAAAGGGTATTCAATGGGCAGTTGTAACAGTGAAAGAGAATCATTCAGTGAAAGTTCGTCAGTGAATACTGTAGTGAAATGTTTGTTGAATATTTCAGCGGAGTGTTCTACCAATAAGGTGATAATATGTTTAATTATAAATATTAATAACTATAAGCCCCTCAAATGATGTACTGAATTGTAGGAATCATTAAGAATATTTGCTGTCTGCTCCGAAAACATCAACAGGTGTTCCAGGCTTGCATTTCTTCTTCTCCAAAAACAATCAAGGTAGCTCTAAAGTACCATTTTTCCTGCTGCAGAATCTCCTCAAAAAATCGAAATCTCGCTTCCATCACTGCATGAAGCATTTTACATTACAGATAATGAGGAATTGTTTTATAACAAGTATTTTTTGTTCTTTATAGGGTAGTAACTTCAACCTAATATTAAATACTGTGATATAAATACTACCATCTTTCAAATCGCTTGGCGTATATTTCTCTGGAACTGTGTTGTGGGATTGCCAAGTGAATCACTTAGTAAGTTATCTAGAACAATAGGTACTATGTGTTGCTATTGTAACTATTCCTTATATCTAATAATATGATTTTATAAATTTCAATGTTTCTTTCCCTAGTTTGATACAGAATTCTAGTCTGCGGGTGACATCAACTGAAAACATTCACACATTGATCTTGTTACAAAAGTTACAAATGCACCTTTGTTCAAGGGTGCCCTATCTCTGAAACTGCTCCTTTGTTTACAAAGCTCAGAACAATAAGAAGTGAATCTTTGTACATATATAAGCTTTGTCAATTGTATAGAATGGGAAAAGTTAAGAATATTGATAACGCTTTAACATGGATGGCATTCTTACAGGAACCTAGTTCTTTTTATAAATATGGTCATTTATAACCTTGGATTGTTAACAAAAACGCAACTAAGTACGGTGACCAAATGCTGTAGTTTTGTTTACCAACTGTTCTAAAGTAATCATGCAAAGAAAATGGTCTCGAAGTATGTACTCTGTTGATAAAAGGGCTGCTCAACATATTTGTATGTGATTGCTTGTGCTGCCATGGGTTCATCTGTTTTTCTTTTTCTCTGTCTTCATCAATATGCCTATTTTTGCCCTTCTTTTCTTGAAATATTTCCACGATAAGCTTGTTTAATAATTCTGACTGTGGTTGTTTATTGCTTTATGCTTTTTAATTAGTTCACATGTTATGTATAGCCATGCGCTCCCATTTGACCTCTGTGAATGTTCCCAGTGTATGAGGTGGCCAGGTTCCCCTCAGGCTGCTCAGTGCAGCTTTTTGCCTGGTCATCCTGGCAATTTTGTTGTCGATAAACTCAATTCGATTCAACAGCACAGTCTCATTGCTGTACGCTGCTCGGTACTCTGTGGGCATTGTTGCAGTTTTTATCGAATGACACAATTTTGAAATGGGCAACTGAGAAATAATATGCATATAAAGGCTTTTTAGTGTGCTAGCAAACAGGGACAAATGAAGAAGGAATAAGACCAGACAAATAATGTGCTAGTCATTCCTTTGAGTGGCTTAATGACCAGTCAGCATTATGCAATGCTTAAAATCGCATTATTGACTCTTTTATATTTCATAACCATGGCATTTGCTGCCTCACAAAAAGCATAAATATGCTGGACATGTCTTTTAGTATTAGGTAAAAGCACGTTGTGTGTGTGGTACCCCTTTCTTATGTCTGCGCTGATAAAACTTCACTGTGTATGCTAACTTGCACGAATCACTACACTGACAATTCAAACAGTATTTACGTAATTTAGAATGTTTGTGTAAGTTCCATCAGCAAATGAGGCCATCTAACTATAAATTTTATAAAATTTCAATTATTAGCTTAAAACAGTTCATTGATTATGTACATTACAATACATTGATTGCTTGATTATGTACATTACAATATATTAAGTATTAATAGCAAGGGAAATACCAGCCAACTAGATGGCTTCTGAAAGGGACACTAGAAAGTGGTACAATGACTTGGTTTAGACTGATAAACTGTACTCTGAGAACTCTAATGTCATGAGTTTCGTTATCATAAGTTCAATATTAGAGGAAAAAAATAGAGGTTAAAGTTTCATTTCTAAATATCGAGTCATCTCCGCACGTTGTGTCACTGATTCTTAAATGTATTTTTCGCATTTTCGCGACAGTTGTTCGATTAAATTTTGCGAAACTTTGTATGTTAGGTGTGTGGCTGCCACAGATGACAATGTATTTCATTTTTACCAATTACAAACTTTGTAGGGCATAGTAGACACCATGAAAATCCATGACGTCTCGGTGTCTGTTTAAGGATTTTTGAAGTGACGTTTCCGCCTGCATTTTCTTTTCGCGTGTTTACTTGCTTACCACGCATCATTTCGCGATAAGAGTGATGTTTTCAAGATTGTGGAATTGTACTTAACTAATACACAAAGAATTGTTTTTCTCTTTAGTGTTCCTTTAATGACAATCATGAAAAAAGGGAAGTATGTTCAAACATATACGCATAAGGAGCATGAATGATTACGTATAAGTATTCTGTTGATAATGTGCAAAGAAAGTCAGTCTCTTTGTCGGAACAAAATTTGTATTTCCATAGGCTGGTGAGCTAAACGTAAGATTGGGAAGCAAGACCACTGCAAGCCAATTTTTTTGTGTGTGTGCGTGTGTGATATGCTTTAATTTCTACTTTTGGGTCTAACAATCATGAAAGTGGACCGTAGATGCTACGATGTGACATATAACTATTCTAGAGCAGTGCTAATTATGTAGGATGTTGCCATCACATCAATATTCACATACAAAATAACTGGTGTCCCATATGAAGAGGCACCATAAGGTCAAGTGTGCTAAAACTGCAGTGAGATGGAGAGTACGCTTTTTGAAATGGGGTCTCTCATGCAGTCAAGAATGAAATGAAGCAGCATGGCTGCTGCTATATCAGCCAGGTCATGGCACACCGAGGTGCCTGCGTCTCCCAAAATTTGTCTTCAGGCTCACCTAACATAAAACTTGACATGTGACACACCTACCTTCCCAATTATTACATCAGGGCAAAAGTGTACCCCCTCTAAGGATCATCGAGAAAAAAACTCAATAACAGAGCGATATACTTTTTTTGCACCAAGCATTGTGCAGCACTTTGATGAACTATCAATGTGCGGCGCGTGCGAAGCATTAAATATGGCGGGTGACTTTTATTGTGGGGAAATATAGATATAACAAACCAAACTTCAGGCTGGTAGGCACTTCTAATGTATTCTTTATAGCCTGTGACATGTTGAATATTCCTTGATAGCCTCTCAAATGTAGAGCATAGCTGTGGAGCTGCATAGTTTCTTGTACTTATCTGCAGATGAAAAACAACTCTTGCAGTGTTATTGTATTGCTTATACTGAGGTAGCGAATGTGCATAATAATTTTTTTCTGTGTCATGCATGTTTGAGAATATAATGATTTTTTTTGTGCTTTATTATTCACAGGACTTTGTTATTGGACTGTCTGTGCTTTCCCGGGGTTCACTCCAAGAGAAACTTCGGTGGACATTCAATCTCTACGACATCAATGGTGATGGCTACATCACCAAAGATGAGCTTGCTCGTATTGTTAAGGCTGTTTACGACCTCATGGGAAAGGCTGTGGAACCCATGGTGGAAGAAAACACAACAAGGGAACACGTTGAAAGGGTGTTTCAGGTAACCAATGCTAGATGTATTGTTACTGTGCTTGCATACAAGAGAGTAAAACAGTGTAGTCAAACATAGACACAAAGCAGTTCATCACCAGCACACGCCTAGCTATCGCTGGCTGAGTTTAGGCATTCTTTCACACTTCAAGACCATAAATACACAGCAATATTGTCTCTGTCTGCACAAACATAGTGCAATGCAGAATAGGACGACTGCTTTAGTATAATTAAGCATTGTTTACAGACCAATTAAAAACTTGCCTAATGCCTTGCTCTTTTTAATTATTCACAACAGTGAGCTGGGCATAAAAACGGTAATAATTTTGGGGGTTTTATGCCCCAAAACAATGGTATGATTACGAGGGACCATGAGCATCGGCAGGATTTTATCTTGGGGGGTACAAAACCGTGTTGCATTGTGGCGGAGTAGGGAGAAAGCATTGGTATAGTTTGGGTAGGGGCAAGTTCTATTGTTGGTTGAGGCGAGCAAGTGCCCCTTTTGCGCTCCCCTGCTGACGTCCATGCGAGGGTCATCACAGTGGAGGGCTCCAGAGACTTTTACATGCACCTGAATTTAAGTACATGGATCGGTGTCATTTCGCTTTCATTTCACCAACCATTCTAAGCATGTTGAAGACTGTCCTCCGATTGTTTATCGCATTTATCATTTTCCTGCATCTTTAGTAGCTTTGATAATGAAAAGGCTTAATTCTGCACTAAATGTAATTTTTCGTGTGCAGTGTAATTCTTAGTATGTGTTGCAAAGAATGCAGGTTTTAATCATTTAAATGTGTGTTCCTTGGTTAACATAGCAATAACAAATCAATAGGTTCTATTGAGTCACTTAAACATCCTATTCAGGTACTGTACCTCACTACTAAGACTACCAACATTGGCTGATTCAATTACTAGTGCTTACACTCATTTAGGGGCTACATATTCTTAATCATGATTTCAACACACCCAATATACAAACTGGCCATTATCAATTCCAAGTTCACTTTAAGTAAGCAAAATATGCATACCTACCATCTTTTTTTTTTTTTTTTGCCATTATAGCACCGGCATCTGTCCCCAAAAATAGAATTTTTTTTTGTTCTGAAAGATCGAAGTCCGCTATGAAATGAACTTGGAAAAACAGTTTTTTGCTACTGACTATATGGTCAGTAGCATATATGGTCAGTTGTCACTATATGGTCAGTTGTGAGTTCAGCGCGGTGTCGTCTCTTCCTCTGTCCTAGTCTATATTTTTGCGCTTTTGCGCTGTCTTTACTTCCCAAGTATGAACCACCAACTAGCTCAACTTTCGCTATGACTGCAGTACTTCCTAATAAATAAACAAAAATACTGAAGGAAATAAGGGTACACTTAAGGGCTCGTTTTTATTTGTTAGAGACAGTAATAATGAGAACTGACAGACAATTATGCCAAGCAAAATATATGGGATAATATTAAAAGTAATTGTAATGTAAATGTGAAAAAAGTAAAGTGAACAAAAGAATGACTTGCCGTGGGCAGGAACCAAACTTGTGACCTTCGAATCGCAATGGCGACAGGTGGCCCTGACTCATGCTCCGACGTTTCATGTACATACATACCCAATAAGGTGGATGGGGAGATAGTTGTCGTAGCAGCTCAGTTGGTAGAGCATTGAAGGCGTCATTCGAAGGTCACAGGTTCGGTTCCTGCCTACGGCAAGTTATCTTTTCATCAACTTTTCTTTCTTCACATTTACATTACAATTACTTCTAACAATATCCCCATACTTTCTTTGGCATAATTGTCTGTCAGTTCTCATTGATATTGTCTCTAACGAAAAAAAACGAGCCCTTACGTTTATCCTTCTTTCCTTTATGCAGAGCGAGGGCCTCGTTCTTGCGGGCTTAGTGCCTTCAGGTGGTATGCGAAGGATTATTGGTCAGCTGCCAGTTTGTAATACGATCACGTGCTACGTGACGCTAACAGGAAAAAAAAAATTGAGTGTCCCACACTTGCCCCAAAGGCAACAGGCGACGCTGACTGATGCTTCCACGTTTAATGCACATACATGCCCAATAAAGTAGATGCGAAAATGCCACCGTGGTTGCTCAATTGGTAGAGCATCGAACGCATTATTAGAAGGTTGCAAGTTCGGTCCCTGTCTATGGCAATTATCTTTTCATCCACTTTTATTTCTTACATTTACATTACAATTACTTCTAATTACTTCCCCTATACTTTCGTTGGCATAATTGTCTGTCAGTTCTTATTAATATACCATACTGTGAGATAACATTTTTGAGTTCAGTAAAATACTTTATAACAGTGGTGGATACAGGCAAAGAAGAGTAATAAGGACCTAGTTGTTCTTTGACAACAGTCACACTTAACTGACCATATTGATTGCTCTAATTCAATACGTGTATGCAGAACCAACCGTTTATTTGATTTGTTTTTTATTTGTATTTGCATTTTTAAGCTTACTTTTAAAATACTTTATGTAGGTTGCGTAAATTTTAACACCATACAATGGTCAGATTTTATCAACAATACCACGTGCCATAAAACGACTTCTATATTATTGAGAATGCATGGAGTCCCAAGTTTTGGGTATACCACGGCTGGGCTTCTCGACCTCGGCAACTGTACATGTCAAACAGCTGGTAGCAATACATATGCCCCATCCCCCATCATCATAGTTTGTTAATCATACATCAATTAGCAAGGATAAAAGACCAGTTACTAGCCTAGTTCATTATTAACTACTATTAACCAAGTCTCTAACGATTCTGTACATAAAGCACAACAGCACACACTTCTCATCACAATGAAGGCCTTGGTTGTGCTAAAAGCACAAACATATTCAGACTTTTTTTTTCTTCTGAAAAGTAAATAGAATGCATTTAAAATGTATATAGCTGGTGCTTTATTGTAACTAAAGCATCAGGAAAAGCCAGAGTCATTTACAAACACCAAGTGAATGCCTGGAAAGTGTTAGGTGGCCTGAGCTGATTTGACTTGATAAACTTGGTGATGTCTGCAGAAAAACGAAGAGCAGTGACCTATATTTATGTATAGGAGTTCTCCAAATGAACATGCATGCATGCATGCATGAATAAATTAATTTTGTTTGACATGTCTTGCAAAAACTCCAGCTTAGAGTAAAATATTTTTTCTAAATAGTCTGGCAAGTCACTGCTCCAAATGGTTGTTACGCTGTTCCAAAGTAAGATTTAAATTGCTCCAGGAAATTCACCTAAATGGCTTTAGTGAATCACATCACTGGGAGTAAATTGGTGCCCAATATCTTCGTTTCGATTGTCCTCCATTTCAAATAAATCGTTTTGGAGTGAAAGGACATGATACTGTTGCGAAAAACTCGAAAAGAAACAACGAGATGCAGGAAAAAGTAGGAAAGTTGGCCTCTTACTTTACCTAATACAGTTTTGCTCCACATAACGTTTCTCAGCAAGTACCAACCAACCCAAGAAAAACTAATTGTAGAACGAAAGCACAATAGCAAAGCAATTGGGAAACAACGTAAACATATTTGATATGGCCATGAATAAAGAAAAGAGGTGGAAGTTTTAAGGGCTCGTTTTTCTTTGTTAGACACAATATTACTTAGAACTAACACACAATAATGCCAAGGAAAGTATAGGGGATGTTATTAGTAGTAAATGTAATGTAAATGTGAAGAACAAAAGTGGACAAAACGATAGCTCAAAGGAGAGGGGGAGAGCGTAGGAGAGGAGTGAAAGCAGGAGGGGCGCGCATGCGCTGTATTGGTGGTCATGCCACACACTGCATTGAGCTTCACCCTAAGATGCTTCGTATCTAATAAAGCTGGACGAAAAGATAGCCTGCCCTTAAAATTTCTACATCTTTTCTTCATTTATAGTGAGGGTCTCGTTCTGGCAGGTTTGATGCTTTCAGGAAGTGTGCGAGGAATCATTGGTCTCCTGCCAGCTCGTAAGGTTATGTGCTATGTGGTGCCAATAGGCAGAAAAAGCTCGCTGGCATGACTACTGGAGGTGCTGACTGACTCTCCCACATTTAAATGCACATATATAACCCATAAAGTGGATGGGGGGTAAGGCTGCCTTAGTAGCTCAGTTGGTGGAGCATAGGACGCGTTATTGCAAGGTCCCAGGTTCGCTCTTTGCCCGTGGCAAGTTATTGTTTCGTCCACTTTTCTTTCTTTTTTACATTTACATTACATTTACTAATAATAAGATCCCTTATACTTTCTTTGGCATTATTGTCTGTTATTTCTCATTAATATTGCATATGTCCACGTTGGTTGTTTTGGTCACGATTATTGACGCTGCGGTATTTTAAGATATCTGGCTCAGTTTTATTCTGTGTAAGGGAGACAGCTCCAATAGGGCTCTGGCACGGGCGCATACTTGGCTAGACAAAGAGAAGAACGAAGTCAGAATAAGAACAGCTGGCCCAGGATTGGGTGTTGTCTCCTTTCTCTCCGTTACAATGGCGTAGTCGACAGGGTGTGCATGGTTCCCGTCACGAGGGCTCTAGCACCCCTTCAGCCTCCCACCGACGCCGTCCACGCGTCCTTGGCTATGGGTTGTGCAGCCGTGAGTTGCGGAGTCGATGTTTCCTCTGCAGATACTAGACCTGGCATGCAAACCGCAAGCCGGTCACTGCAGGAAGCACAGTTCGGCAATGACGACGGGGAAGCCTTCTCGCCCCCTGCTTGCCTAACGGCGCTTCAAGCACCAACCCCGGAAGGCGACCAGGCCTCCTTGGTAACTCGACGCTGCTCTCACCACAATCCAGTGCTTCATGACATTGCCATGCTGATTGCTGCGATGACAGCTTATTCTATGGCCGCCGCCAGTGGTTCCGCAGATGGCACCTCCGAAGATGCTGCGAGGATCATCCGCGAGGCCATCGCACGCTTGTCTCAGCAACTGGCACTTTCGAACTACGAAGTCTCAACCGCCGCTATGAGCACCGGGGACCCTGTCATCTCCGCGGTCATCGCTCCTGGCTCCTCGGGCTCCT